AGATACGTGGAAGAGATATCCAAAATAGCAGACGCTTTCGGAGGCTGGTCAGTGACCGACCCATTTCGTAATTCCTAATAACATAAGAATTAAACATCAATTTAAACAAAGCCTCTATGTATAACAAATATTCATAAATGTTCTTAAGAAAGAAAAAAAATAAATCTTTTAAAAATCGGTTTATATTCTAATATAAAATTTATAAAATATTACCGAGTTCTTATTTATTTATCTAAATATTTTCTCGCTAAACTACCCGTTAATAATAGGCAAATTTTTTACTGTATATATAAAATATTTTAATCAAATAAAATCTGTAAAGATAATTATTATCTTTATAAGTACACTCCGAATTTTTACATAAAATTAAGAAACAAAGCAATTATGTAATAATGCAATACAATTTCATAAAAATAATGTCCCATACCATTTCTGCGAATTGATCAATTTCCAAAAAGCTTTATTATTATCTTTTATAGTAACATTAATATTTATCTTGTTCTGATGTAATGCATAATTACTATAAAAGCATTAAGTATTATAAAAAGTATAAATGGTCGACATTTTCAATGAAAAAAAAACGGGAGCGATATATGACGTTGATATATGATTAAAAGCGAACGTCACCAAATCAATGCGTCAAGTCTGTGCCAAACGTGAGAATGTATCGGTCCTGATTTATCATCAATTCCGACTTGCAAACCAGAACTTGCTCTGGCAATCATCCGTCTTGTTGCGTAAAGCTTAGAGACCTTGACCGACGCGCAGTAGGAGTTTGTTTTAAATGCTTCTAGCACCTCACGTTGCATATGTTTATCGTCTTTTTGAATCAAAAATATCTACGTTCAATATCACTTTCAATATTATCAAACTTGATACAAATTCTAATTGTGATACAATGCATGTAATTGTGCATGGAAAATCAATGTACTGCAGTAAGAACTTATTGTTTGCAATAAAAACAAAACAGTGCCGTATACAACTGCGTATATAAATTTTTTCATTAACATACATAGTTACACAGTGTTAAAAAAGCTGGCAATTAAGAAAATTGACAAAACAAATGCGTTGCTGAAGTAAAATATATGTAACATTATAATATATATAACGTATAAGATAAATTATTTGAACTTAAATTAACTTAAAGGCGAATGCACTTGAGGATGAGGCGCTATTCACTCATTAGCAGCGAGTGCAACCACCGTAAAACGAACTTCATTAGGATCATGTTCCATGTATTCCTTGCACACGCGAGCGGCATCGTCGAGAAGTGTCTCCGGTGTAGTTGAACCGTGATTGATAGGGGCAGATTTTCGACCGTCTGGGAAAACAATGTTTTTTAGAGCAGGTTATAAATTCGGTAATAGGTATATTATTCGTAGTACATTAAATTAGTATGCATTAATACATTAAATTATTGGGTTATCTGGAAAGTTCGTGCCGATTTTTGGTAAAACTAAAATTTAAATCTTCTGCGTTCAATTTTCCTTCAAAATCGGTATGAACTTTCCGGACAACCTAATAATATATGTTGTTTTATATAAAATATCTAAATGCAATGGCATAATATAATTAATTAATACAATTAATATAATTAATATAATTAATTTTAAAACAATAGAACAATATATAAATAATAAAATAATACATGTATATTTTGTTAAAATGTAACAATATCATTATTAGATATTTAAATAAAATTTAATCTTTAAAAAATGTTTTTAAATTTTTATTAAAAATTTCGTTAATTTCATGTATAGCAGCATTAATAGATATGCACTAATCTAATAATGCAGGTATAATCTAATAATCCAAATTCGCTATTAATTTAACTGTGTTGTAAAGTCAATGTGGATTGAATACATACCCAGCTCATACAGAGAACCGTCTTTATGGACAAACGCGACAAAGTGATGATATACCTCCACATCTTCAGCGGGTGCCTAAAATAAGAAAGAATATATGGTTTAAATTTCATTGTTTAAATGATTGAAATTTATAGTTTAAAAAAAAATCATTCTCAACTATGAAATAGAAAGTACCTCGGTCTGTCCTTCCTGGGCAGATTCCATATGAGTATCAATGATATCTTGCGCTTTTTCTAAACGTTCGCCACGTTCAATATACGAAAGTCCTTTGGTTTCTTCTAAAAATTTTTTGAAAAAGCCATCCTCCAACTGTATCCTGTAAAGAAAAAAGGACATTTTTATTGTTTATCACTCTAATAGATTGAATTATATTAGATGTGGGAAAAAGTTCGTGGCGTTTTTCCTGTTAGATGGCATTAAAAAACGCCACAAACTTTTTCCCATACCTAATATATGATCATAGATGCTCACACATCCAAATTATTCGCCACGCTATGAAGTAATGCAATTGTTCCACACGCATTCGAAATAGATTGCTTTATATGATAAACAGATTCTGCAGCATCACTCTTGTTATCCTTAGCTTCTGCTTGCTCTTCTTTAGTCTTTTCAATCTAAGGAGAGATAATAAAACAAATTTTGCTTGTAAAAACACATCAGTCAAATCTTGAAATGTTTCATGATACATTGGAACCTCATAATAGCAAACCTTGAATTAACAAAATCCTCTCTTTTTCTTTGTCCAATAGTTTTCTATTTGAAGTACCAAATGTGATAAAGTACTGGACTTCTAACAGATTGTGAAGTATACAGTAAAATAAAACTTTTTCATGTGTTAGACACATGTGAACATGAGTAGAAAAAGGGAGATAGCAATGGAATTGCAATCTGCACAGTTCGCGAATAGAGTTTTGAATACAATTTTATATAAGATCTGTTTTTTTATTTTTGCATTAAACTGCACTAGTGCCTGTATTCATTTAAAATCACCTTATATTTAAGGTTTCCTTAAGTTCATCTTTAGATACTCTACAGCTAATAAAATAATTCATAGCATTTTAAGATAAATTTAAGAAAGCCTTAAATAGTTTACTATGAATAGGAATATGTATTATCTTTTTTGCTTTTTCCAAATATCAAATATGTATCTATTTCACTTTAAGTTCCAAAAGTATATACCAGATCACTCATTAAAACCAGACTTATAATTATAATATTAAACTGTGCCTTGAACTTCATTGTTTAAAAATAAGAATAACTTCATTATTATATTCATGTTGTTATGAGGTTCTAGTATATTGTCATGTACCTTTGAAGAAATAGGATAAAGCAAAATAACGGCAAGAACAGGCCTGGGGATGATCGCCAACAATTCCGATTCTAAGCCGTATACATCTAAGATCGACCACTTCTTTGGAACGCCCAACTTGTGGAGGAACTATAAAAACAAAAATCGTACTTTAAATTTTTGTATATTCAAAGATTATGCTAGAGAGATCTGGAAAATTGGTTCCCCTGTTTTTTCACCAGAAGTGTGTTATTAATATCGACGAAATATCGTGTTCATGTCGAGGAAATAATGAAATTAACTGACTGAACGTTGCAATTGCTTACCTTCGTCATAACCTAAAACAGAAAACACGCTTATTCAATTGCTGTACGAACAACGTATCACAATTCGACAGAAGACTCAATTACCTCTGGATTCGACTCCAAGGGCACCCAAGCCATGTTGAATATTTCGTGATATCTCCCACAAGAAATTCTATTCCAATTTTTCAAAACGCCGGTAAATGCTATCTATCCGGTTTATCCTTTAACGATTAGCTGATCTTCTCACGTTTCGTTTCACGTCCTTGTTCACAAAGTCGATTCAAATTCTTGCAGGCTTGTTTTCATGAAAGTGTAAAACGACAAATCACGCTACGTTTCGTTTTCAAATTGTGCGATTTCATTTGCAATTGAACGCATATGAAAATATACCAGAACGCGATTCTTGGGACTATATTCTTGAAAAATGTCGCATACAAAAATGTATGAAATTATAATGTACGTGATGTATTTTTGTATGCAATATTTTCTAAGAATAAGGCTTCAGGTTATTTCACTTCGCACAAAACAAAGAAATATAATAACTTTGATCGATATTTGACAAGAAACGATCGACAGATACGATTGGTCAATTCCAATGTACTACTATTATTAAAGTTATTACGGGTGGTCGAAGTGGCCCTAAAGGGACCAAAAATCATATTCTATTTTCGAAAAATATCGCATGGAAAATATTATAGTATATGTCACATTATTACAGATTTCCCTCGTATAATATTTCATATGCGATATTTTGAATGGACAAGATTTCTTTTCGGAGCATCAAATTAGCGAATATTTTGTAGAGAATAGAGCTATGAAAAACGAGATATTGGATACCGGTAGGATACGTAAAAAGATTTTAGAATGTAATATAGCGCTTTTTATGCAAATACAACATAGATTACACGAGTATCTATTTTATAAATCGCATCTCTGATGATATAATTACTTGTAAACAATCCTTGTGAAATCAAAGTGGAACTAAGATACACATATGATTATGTATTAGTCAAAGATAATATAATATACTTCAATGGTAGGAGATAGTAATAGTATTTGTACTTATATCACTTATATGATTAATAGTATTGTAAATACGAAGTTGTTTATCCAGTATGATTTGAAAAGAAATATCAATAAATTTAAGTTTATAAATCTGCAATTGTTAATTTTCTAAATATATACTATTTTTTGAGATTTTTATAGATTTTTGTTACAATAATAATCCTAATCCATCTTAATTAATAAAGATTAATTAATTATATTTTATAATAAAAATTTTTATACATCATTTTTAATTTAAATATTATTTATAAAATGTTCTAGTGCTTTTATTTTTGTGGAATTACAGCGTAATAATTCCGATCAATAAATGTTAAATTATATTTAACGTATAAATTAGATGCATCGAGATTAATAATAATGTAATTTTTGTCTTAAAAATAGATAGACTAAGAGATTCGATCTAATCTAATTTCAATATATACAAACAATATGTAACAATAGAATTCTTGATAATGTTTAAAGCAGACGATACAAATAAAAGGGTCGTCCAACAATATCATTGCTTTCATTACAAGTTTCCTAGCAGGACGATGCTGTTTGTACATATTTCGTGCGTCATTTTGATCCTCTGTGTATCATTGTCAGAAACATATATTAATGTGATAACGAAAAGAGATGAGGATTTTGTACCATTTTCAACAAAAGCAAAGTATGTTCCAACGTGGTCTAGTCTAGACAGTCGACTGCTACCATCCTGGTACGATGAAGCAAAGTTTGGAATCTTTATTCACTGGGGTGTATTCAGTGTGCCCAGCTTTAGCTCTGAATGGTTTTGGAGCTATTGGAAAGGTTGAATATATGATATGATGCTTTCCAGCAAGAGACATAATATTATAACACAGTGATCATTTCATTTTTGTTAAACATTGGAAAACAATAAAGATACTGATTCACTGTGTTACACCATGTCATCTATACCTTTTGCTGAAAGATATCCATATTCTATTTCTATAATGAAAAAATATTATGAAGATTAATGTAATATTTTATAATTATAAATAATATTGCAGGAGGATTGAAGATTGTAAACGACTTTATGAAACAAAGATATCCTCCAAATTTTACCTATCAAGACTTTGCACGAGATTTCACTGCTGAGTTCTTTAATGCTTCTGACTGGGCAGAGTTATTCCAAGCATCAGGTGCAAAGTATATTGTATTGACAAGCAAGCATCATGAAGGATATACAATGTGGCCGTCAAAGTATTCGTACAGCTGGAATTCTATGGATGTGGGGCCTCAAAAGGATCTTGTTGGTAATAAAGATATAATCCTAATAAGATTTTGCATTAAGTATAATGATTTTTGAAATATTCCTTTTTTTTTTATACAAAATAGGGGAACTGGCAGAAGCTATTCATAAAACAAACATAAAGTTTGGCTTGTATCATTCCTTATTTGAATGGTATAATCCTCTCTACATAGCAGACAAAAGCAACAATTTTACAACAGATAAATTTGTAACTCAGAAGGTAATACCAGAATTACATGAATTAATAGAGACATACAAGCCAGATATAATTTGGTCAGATGGAGAGGCAGAAGCAACAGATTCTTATTGGAAATCAAAGGAATTTTTAGCCTGGCTATACAATGAAAGTCCTGTGAGAGATACAGTAGTGGTAAATGATAGATGGGGCATTAATATAACATGTCATCATGGTGGATTCTATACATGTACTGATCGTTTTAATCCTGGTAATTTTATCATATTTTTTCTCTCGTCTACAATTAAATATAATTATAATTATTAAATTAAATAGGTATTAATAGATATCAATAACTGATTACATTACTATTAACAAAATTTATTTTTTAGGTGTACTTCTTCCACATAAGTGGGAAAATTGCATGACTATTGATAAAAAATCCTGGGGATACCGCAGAAACGCTGTTTTATCCGATTACTATACATTGGCAGGATTAGTAAAAGAGTTGATAATTACTGTAAGCTGCGGTGGAAATTTACTGATGAACGTTGGACCAACAAAAGATGGTATCATTACACCAATATATGAAGAAAGATTACGAGGAATGGGTATATATCTTTTATATCTTATCATGTTTTTTTATTAGTATCTTGATTAATTTAGATATCAATTTTTTAACAATCTCAATGATATATAAATAAATTTGTCGTTTTAGGCGCTTGGTTAACAGTTAACGGCGAAGCAATTTATAATACTAAGCCTTGGACAGTACAAAATGATACCTTAACAGGAAGTGTTTGGTACACATTAAGTAAAAATCAAAAACAATTGTATGCCTCAATTTTAGAATGGCCAGATGATAATATCTTATTGTTAGGCTCACTTAAACTTTCAAAGAGTTTTCAGATATGTCTACTTGGTTATTCATCAATAATTCCCGTAAGTGTTACTATTTTTATGTATGTATATGTTATGAAAGTGATAATCAAATAATTTTGAATATTCACATTTCAGTGGAAACAATCCGATAATAATCTAGAAATAAGTTTACCAGCTAACGCACACAGAGGTGAACCAGCTTGGGTATTAAGGATTAAGAAAAATATTGATTAGAGTTTTATTTTATATACAATATATTATATATAGATTGTCACACACAATAATATGTATGTAATATTATACACACACACACACACACACACACACACACACACACATATATATATATAAAATACACGTATTAAAAATAGATTTTAACTTATAAATGGATATTAATATGAGATGTGTCTATATAGCAAACTCTTCTCTCTTTCCTTTTATCCTTTTAAATTCCTGTGATCTTATTTTCATGAAAAGCACAAATCGAGATTGTGCGATATACTCTTGAAATATTTGTGTGACGCGATTGGTCATAGTGGTAGCCATACAATTGGTAATAAATATGTATATGTATACGTATATGTGTTAACATGTCAAACTAGCCATTAACATATAGTGATCGTTCCTTAAAATTGACACAAATAATACTGATATTTTTATATAAAAAGAAGATTCATAAAAAAAAAGAAAATTTTATAGAATCTTAGTGTATCATTTTTCACTTTTAAGCAATTTCTTATATTTACATTTATTCCCTTCATTGTATTCCTTCCTTTTCTCTTATAATATAAATTGTATCTTGAATGATACTTTAGTTTTGTATTTTTTAATTATGATAATTGGGACAAAAACGAACGTAATTATGTAGTCAATTCTCAAAACTAATACAGATAATAAACATACAACATTTACATTTTTTTAGCAAAATATTTATGATATGTTAAATTAACGTATATTTTATTCATTTATATTAGAATTTACGTTTTAGAATACATTATTTTTGTTTATTTGCTCATTCATAGATTGTATTATTTTCATACTGAAAAATATTAAGTATTTTTCATAAAATAATTAACACAAAATATTTTAATAACATAATCATATTGGATTAAATTAATACTTAAATATGTTAAACATGTAAATGCAAAATTTTAACAAGGACTTGAATCGTTTTTAATATAAATATAAAACATTTTCTGTGGAAAAATTCACAGTAATGATCTAATCTAATCTCGAAATACGATACGATACAAAACAGCACACAGAAATAGAATCTTTGTCGAGATTTCATACAACAGATAGGAATAAAAGATCGGATTGATGTCTGTTGCTTTTATTTATGTCAAGTCTCGATCAGAATGATGCTATTTGTACGCATAATTTTATGCATTGTATTAATTTTTTGCGTGTCAGTAAGGGCGCATTATATCGTAATAGTGAGAACAGAAGAGGAAAATTTTGTGTCAACTTTAACAAAAGCGCCCAAATATGTTCCAACTTGGCCCAGTCTAGACAGTCGACCGTTACCAGTTTGGTATGATGTTGCAAAATTTGGAATCTTTATTCACTGGGGTGTATTCAGTGTGCCTAGTTTTGGCTCTGAATGGTTTTGGAACAATTGGAAAGGTAGAATGTTATATTTATATTTATAAATGTCACATGAATATGTATAGTATCTATAATATTTGTATAATTTGTATTATATATTTGTGTGATGTTCTAGAGGAAACTGAAACTACGAAATATTCCGACTTTATGAAACAAAGATATCCTCCGAACTTTACCTATCAAGACTTTGCACGTGATTTTACTGCCGAGTTCTTCAATGCTTCTGAATGGGCCGAGTTATTCAAGGCATCAGGTGCAAAGTATGTTGTATTGACAAGCAAACATCATGAAGGATATACATTATGGCCATCGAAGTATTCATTCAGCTGGAATTCTATGGATGTTGGATCTCAGAAGGATCTTGTTGGTAATAAAGATATATATCTAACAATAAGATTTCGTATTAAGTATGATAATCTCTAATATGTATTCCTTTTTTTATAAAATAGGTGAATTAGCAAAAGCTATTCGTAGTAAGACAGATATAAAATTTGGCTTATACCATTCTATGTATGAATGGTATAATCCCCTTTATATAACAGACAAACAAAACAATTTTACAACAGATAGATTCGTAACTCATAAAATAATACCAGAATTGTATGAGTTGGTAGAAACATACAAGCCAGAAATAATTTGGTCAGATGGAGATTGGGAAGCATCGGATTCTTATTGGAAATCGAAGGAATTTCTAGCATGGTTATACAATAAAAGCCCTGTAAAAGATACGGTTGTGGTGAATGATAGATGGGGCAGTAATATACCATGCCATCATGGTGATTTCTTTACATGTACAGATCGTTTTAATCCTGGTAAATAGCATAAAAATTATAATATAACAATATTTTATATATAGCAATATTATAATATAACACATAAATTATGTATAGAATAATATTATTAAATGAAGATATATATTGTATATAGATTTATAATTAATAAAATTTTGTTTATTAGGCGTACTTCTCCCACATAAGTGGGAAAATTGTATGACTATTGATAAAAAATCCTGGGGATATCGCAGAAACGCTGTTTTATCCGAATATTATACATTGGTGGGATTAGTGAAGGAATTAGTAATTACTGTAAGCTGCGGTGGAAATTTATTGATGAACGTTGGGCCAACAAAAGATGGTATCATTACACCAATATTTGAAGAAAGATTACGCGGAATGGGTACATCTTTTATATCTTATCATGTTTTTTTATTAGTATCTCGATTAATTCAAATATCAATTTTCTAATGATCTTAATGGTACACAAGTAAATTTTAGGTGCCTGGCTAGCAGTTAACGGCGAAGCTATTTATGATACTAAACCTTGGACAGTACAAAATGATACCTTAACAGGAAGTGTCTGGTACACATTAAGCAAAAATGAAAAACAGTTATATGCTTCAATTTTAGAATGGCCAGATGATAATATCTTATTGTTAGGCTCGCTCAAACTTTCGAAGAGTTCTCAGATACATCTACTTGGTTATTCATCGATAATTCCCGTAAGTGTATTATTACTTTTATTTAATTAAGTATATGTTAAGTATATGTTGCTTTTATTTATTTAAGTATATATTATGAAAACGATAGTAAATAATAAATGACATTTTGAATATTCATTCCAGTGGAAACAATCCGATAATAAGCTAATAATACGTTTACCAGCTAACGCACATAGAGGTGAGCCAGCTTGGGTATTAAGGATTGGAACTCTTTAAAATGTACATATTGTTTACTAAGAATATATTTTATATTGTACATTAATTTTAGAAATCTGTACGAATCTTAG